AACTGCAGCTGTCTCTGGCCCCAACGCACTTGTATAATATCAATCCGCACATAGCCCCGATGCCCTGCGCAGCCAACTTGGAAACGCGCATGCCCCGCGTCGCCCGCCCGCCGCCCCCTCGACCGCCCCGATTCTAAAACGCGCCGCAAGCATTGAAATGCGCCGCTGGGAAGCCCCGCATCCGCAAGAACAACGGCGTCACCAGAACCGCAGCCTTCACCAGTCGCCCCAAAGTCTTCGGCGCAAGTCCAAAGGGAAATATTTGCCCGCGTAGTTTGCGGGCGCAAAGGCCGCAAGTGGGCGCCCGCGGTCGCCCCGATCGCGCGCGAAGTTGGACTGCGATTGGGCGCGCAGAATACGAGCAGCTTGCGATAGCAAGTCTGCCTCCTTCTCCCCCGCCTTGCCCGCGCGCAATCTCTCGCGCTTCACGGGCGCCGCCTCCTGCCCCCGATCCGGGTCTTCTCTGGCTGGCGTTCCGCTGCTTCGCGGCCACTATCGTGGAGGGTCAGATTCGCGCCATCCGCGAAAAGAAGCTCCAACATTCTCTAAGGTCAATAGGTTTGCGATTAGCTCGCCCTCCGCCTGATTTCAACCCTCTTCCTTTCGCGCGACCCACCCCGCCCCGGCATCGAGGGGGGGGGCCCGAGCTCGCGCGAGGAAGTCGCGCGCGGCGCGCGCGGAGCAAACAAAACTCGCCAGGGCTACCCGGGCGCACCTCGCGAAGACCCCGTAGAAGAAGGCCGGCGATTTCTCGGGCGCGCCTCGCAGGGACCCCGCTCCCTTATCATGCATGCCGCCACCGTCGCAGGTCGCGCAACTCGAGGATGCGCAATCCGAGCATCTGCCATAACCGCCGCAAGGTCTTCTTCGGGACTGCACAAGAACTATGACTGTTCGCCTCTGCCAATAACTCCAATACCACACTTGCGACATAAGCCGGGCATGTCGTCGATCGGCGCAATCGCAAACCGCCGCGTCGCAGGCCGCGACCAACTCTCTCCGCAGTGGGCGCGCAATCAGGCAGCAATAACCTCGGCAATAATGCGGCTGATGATAGCGATCAGCCGTTTACATATGTACTTGGCGGCAGTCGTATGACCCCTTCTTATGTAGTGGCACTCCCGCTGCTCTGTTCAGAGGCCGGCCCCGAAGCTCAAGACCCCGTCGCCGCGCCCCGCGAATCAATCCGACAATCCCACCAGCCCTTTGGGCGTGAGTGGTTTAGAGAGCCCGCTCTGTTCTCAACCCCCCTTCTTCCCCTTCGGGGAGGGGTTTGCCCCTCCCCCTACCCCCTCCCCCTGGGCCTGGAGAGGTCCTTTCGCGGGTGGTTGGAGGGGTCTTTTTCGACTCCTGGGAGCGACACCCCTCGCGAGGATTCTGGCCCCGACGGGGGGGGGGGGAACCCGCCCCTCTTCTTTGAAGCCCAAATCATTGTTTTTACGACGGTTTTGGCCCCATTTTGGCCTTCTGATGGGCCAGCGCTAATTAAAGCCCCCCTCTTCCTTCAAGCCAAAATCACTGATGCTACTGAGGTTTTGGCCCCATTTTGGCCTTGTGAAGGGGGCAGCGCTAATTAAAGCCCCCCTCTTCTTTGATCGATGTCCTCCAAGATGGCCCCAAGAAGCGCCCGGGAGGCACCAAGAGGCCCCAGGATGGTCCCAAGAGGCCCCCAGGAGGCCCCCCAAGAGGATCCCAAACGGCCCAAAGAGGCCCCCCCGAGGCACCCAAGACGCCGAAAAGCCCATCAAGACGACCCTCTACTCGCCTGGGCGTCGTTTCTGGACGGGCAGGAGGAGGGGCCCGAACGACTCGCACCAGGACGAGGGGCCCGAACAACTCACACCACGAGAAGCCCGAACGACTCACACCAGGACGAAGAGCCCGAACGACTCACACCACGAAGAGCCCGAACGACTCACACCAGGAAGAAGGGCCCGAACGACTCACACCAGGACGAGAAGCCCGAACGACTCAAACCACGAGGAGCGCTTTCTCCCCCTCCCCCCCCGCCTCGTCCTTCTCCCGCCCCCACCACAAGGAGGATGTGCAAGGAGGCGGGGGGGGGAGGAACAGGGGAGATATGCGGGGGCAGGCGGAAACACGCCTGAAAAACACGACTGTCGGCATGCTTCGCTAGAGTTGCTGTTTTGAGATGGGCTGGTGGGGATACGCGAAGCATGAAGAATTTCTGCTTATAACTTGTCCCCGTCCCACCTTATCAACGAAATCGACACATCGTCTTTCCTTGCTTGGCTTTCTGTCAGATCTGCTCATGCGCGTGCGACATCCTCTGCGCCCGACGGCCCATCGAGTGATACTTTTACATGGGCGACGGGAAGACCTGCTTGCAGAGCGCCCTCGCCAACCTCCCCCCGCGTCGCACCCCGTCGACCACCTTCGCGAGCTTAGCCGCCCCCTCCGCCGCAAGCGGTTTCTGTGCCCCCCCCGCTCTGTCCACGCGCGCGGGCGCCGAGCTTCTCGAGCACATGTAAAACTATCCCAGATCAGCTCGGGCCACTGCTTTCTAAAGCTTCTCAATGGCGTTGTTCACCAAATTCACGCGAGCCTCACTCTTTTTATATATATATATATATATATATATATTAAAAAATACTTTCGTTACAATACCATCATACGCCTTAATTGAAATCGTCGATCGGCCCCCTAGAGCCTACGATTCCGCCCCCAGAGATCAGCCATTTCCTTGCATTATTTATCGGTGCGTTCCATTGCTTCTGTCGCACGGGGAACTCCTAGCTGGTAAATTTTACCCCTGCCAACCAGCTCCTCTGCGCTTTCCACCAGAGCTCTCGATGTTTGATCCCAGGGTAACCACCCTCCTTCGTCCCAGCAACGTCGTTCCCGCTCTCGGTCGAGTCGATCCTCCTCTTCGTCCTGTCCTCGTATTTGGTCAGGTTCCAGGTGTCGCTTGATTTCACCTTGATCACACTCTTCCTCCTCCATGGGCTCCTCCATGCATTGTTGCTAGGCGTCCTCCTGTTCCTCCTCTATGCTCACGAAGCCCATCTCCTCGGGTTCGTCCATAAATACTCTCGAAGATCCCGTCCTAAAAGAAAACCGGGTGTGTTCCGATAACTTCGACAAAGACACACCTGCTGCTAATGTTTGCCTACGCCCTTCACGCCCTTGGTCGGCATGCCTGTCTGCCTGCTCGATCCCCACTGCGCCACTACTCCTCTTTCACGTGCTTGAAGACCACCACTCGACACGATTGGACCATCCTGGTCCATTCCAGGGCCTGCTTGATCAATTATATGCCCAGCTTGGTTTCCAGCGACCCGTTGCCATCTTAGCTGTCTTAGCTACGCGTGACAGATTCTTCGCCGTCAAGCTCCTGTCTCTTTCGCACAACCTCCTGCATCCAAACAACATCGATTCCAACGCTCCTGTATTGTTGCTGTGCTTGTTGGCCCCCACATACTGCTGAGGACTGTTATCCTAGATCACTGGGCCATAGTATCTCTTACTCACGATCGCTGGTGCCCGTGATGGACGTCAGGCATGTCGAAGTATACCTCTGAGGCGCTGAGGCGCCCCCCATGTACTTATGATGGCCCTTATATGATACAACACGGCCGTAACGAGGTGCGTGCAGTAATGTGGCTTTCAATCGACCAATGAGTTTGTAGCCGCAGCGCGGCTTCGGCTGCTCCATCCTGCCGACGATAGGGGTGAAGCACTCGACGTCTCCTTGCAACCGCCAATGGTAGCAACTTCGTCGCACTCACGTCGCACTCAGACCATCCAGAACATTTTGTGTTTCATGCTCAGCGCGCGCTTCACCCTGATCCGAGTGAGGGCGCGACCATTCAGGGACTCGTGCAGCTCAGAAGCGGCCGCGGCCGACTGCCTCTTGCTGGGTTTTTGGCCACCTCGACACCGCTGAGGCCCAAGCGCGGCCACAACGGAAAAAAGGCACGGCCACGACACACACATTGCCTTCGCCCCGCCAGTCTGATGATACAGCACTGAATGGCAGGCCCCCAGAAGGCCTGGGATGTGCGGAAAGCCCCGCGTTCGCTGCCTCGTAAGCAGCATACTTTCCTGTCTTGAGGTCCCTGTCAGACAGGTTCTCCGATTCGTTGACATGAGCTTTGGTTATGTGAACGGGCTCCGACCACAAATCGGTAAGTCTGGAAAGCATGAGCCCCGCATATGGCCTCTTGCGAGACAGTTCTGCCAGGGGCTACGAGGAGGAGGAGGAGGAGGAGGAGGAGGAGGAGGAGGAGGAGGAGGAGGAGGAGGAGAAGGACAACGACGATGAGAGAGCAGCTGGAAGATGTGGAGGAAGGAGGAAGGAGCTAGGAGCGAAGAGAAAGGAGTGAGGGGGGAGGAGCGATGAGGGACGAGCGAGGAGACAGGAGGAGAGAGAAAGGGGAGCAAGGGGGAGGGAGGAAGGAGGAGGGAGAGGGCGAGGGAGACGGAGAGGGCGAGGAGAGTAAAGGAAAGAGAGGAGAGGAGAGGCGAGGAGAGGAGAGGAAGGAGGGAGCAGCGAGGAGCGGAGAGGGGAGGAGGAAGGAAAGGGGGAGGGAGGGAGGGAGCAGAGGCGGTAGGGGGAGGGATGATGGAGAAACGCAGATTTCAGACACCATGTCCCGATTTCATCCGATCTGCTCTTCCGCGTTCCGTCGCTCTTGTCGCCTGCGATGCCACCTGCGCATACACGGTGGCCTGATCCCCTTGCACAACGGCTTCTCTAGCAGAGGCGTTCCTGGGCATTTCTCGCTAACGCCCGATCCTCCTCACCGTGGCTGCGATGCGCGCGGTGCGATGATTTAGGGAGGAGTCGACAAAGCATGAAGGGCCCAGTGTGTTGAAACATGCAAATGGCTAATCCTTGGTAAGCTCTCGGGCGTGTGTCTGGTCATCTGCATCAAGCAGGGACTGTTCCAGAGCGTGGCCACCCTGGACAGGGCTCCTGGCACGCAACAAACAAACCTACATAGGTGATGCTTGCAACCACCCTGCCTCGCCCCCGCCTTTGGACTATGCCTTTCAGCGAGTGACAGGCACTTCGACCAATCATTATTGCGCGCGTACATGTCCAGCGCGCTGGCCACGTCGCCCGTCTTCTTGATGAGTTCGTCAGCGTCGCCTCCCCGAATCCGCCCCGCCAACCCGTCCTTGCCAGCGGGGATGAAGATAGGCTGCACTGATGCAACAAACGCCGACGATTCAGGCGGGCCCTCCTCCTCCTCCTCCTCCTCCTCCTCCTCCGCCTCCGCCTCTTTCTCCTCCTCCACATTCCACTGCCTCCGCCGAAGGGAGTGGACGAGGAGGGGGGGGAGAGAGGGGTAGGGTGGGCAAGAGCTCCTCAACGCACCCCTGGGGCCCTCGAAGCCTCCCAATCCACCGCCGACGCCTCCAGGAGGCCGAAGATGTATAAGATGGCTCAAGAAAGGCTCTAAAGCGCCGGAGGGGCTTCCAGAACATCCGAGATTGCCTCAGGGCGGCCCAAGAGGCCTGGAAGACGCCCAAAAAGGCCCCAAGACGACCCACAAGACCGCTTCGAGAGGCCAAAGCAGTGAGTTCCTGTTGGCCAGTTCTATTTCTAATGGATTTCGCATTCTCGCCATGTCAGGATTTTGAACCCCGAGACGGCACGAGAAGCCCACAGACCAGCCCAATACAGCCGAAGAGGCCCCCAACAGGGCCAGGAGATGGCCCAAGAGGGTCCCAAGACTGCCCAAGATGCCCCCAAGACAGCAGCCAAGAAGGTCTTCAAGAGGGCCCCTGGACGGGCCGTAGAGACCCAAGAGGGTAAACTCGTGGGGGCCCCAGGGGCCCTCCCCCACAAGATGGCCACCAAGACGCCCAACATACCCTCGAGATGCCCAAAAGAGCCCCCACGAATCCCTCAGAGGGCCCCAAGAAACCAAATTTACCAGCCAAGCCCATCCTGGATACGGGATCCGTTTACATATCCTCCTGGCCAGGCATGCATATACACACCAATCCATCCTGGACACAGGATTGGTCGGGCCATCATCGGAGCGGATGTACAGCTGGCATTTCTTCAGGCGGGAGGAATAGAGAAAAGAAGAGAGAGAGAGAGAGAGAGAACACATGACCATGGCGACGTACCCAACCCCTGCGCAATGCGGGGCATGAGTAGCTTGGGCGACGTTATAAGGAGGTGATGACGTGACATGGGCGCATATACTTCTGCGAGCGGCATTCGTGATGCTCGCAGCCCCCCAAGGATTGCGATGTCTCGCTCAGATCTGCCTGGTGCCTCGCTCCGCTGAACCCGCCAGCAGCCTTCGGCGACAGCCTTCGGAAGTTACGACAGTTTCGCAGAGCGCAGCCCCCCAAGGACGGCGAGGCCCCGCTCAGATCTGCGCGGTGCTTCACTCCACTGGACCCACCAGCAGCCCTCGAAAGTGGCGACAATTTCGCAAGTCTCAGCCCCCCAGGGACGGCGAGGTCCCGCTCAGATCTGCGCGGTGCCTCACTCCGCAGGACCCACCAGCAGCCCTCGAAAGTGGCGACAGTTTCGCAAATCGCAGCCCCCCAGGACGGCGAAGTCCCGCTCAGATCTGCGCGGTGCCTCACTCCGCTGGACCCACCAGCAGCCCTCGAAAATGACAACAATTTCGCAGATCGCCACCCCCCAGGGACGGCGAGGTCCCGCTCAGATCTGCGCGGTGCCTCACTCCGCTGGACCCGCCAGCAGCCTTCGAAAGTGGCGCCAGTTCCGCAGATCGCTATGCTGGCCCCCCAAGCAGCCCTCGAAAGTGGCGACGGTTTCGCAGATCGCAGCACCCCCAAAGGACGGCGAGGTCCCGCTCAGATCTGCGCGGTGCCTCACTCCGCAGGACCCACCATCCGCCCTCGAAAGTGGCGACAGTTTCGCAGACCGCAGACCCCCAGGGACGGCGAGGTCCCGCTCAGATCTGCGCGGTGCCTCACTCCGCAGGACCCACCAGCAGCCCTCGAAAGTGGCGACAGTTTCGCAGAGCGCAGCCCCACAAGGACGGCGAGGTCCCGCTCAGATCTGCGCGGTGCGTCACTCCGCTGGACCCACCAGCAGCCCTCGAAAGTGGGGACAACTTCGCAGGTCTCAGCCCCCCAGGGACGGCGAGGTCCCGCTCAGATCGGCGCGGTGCCTCACTCCGCAGGACCCACCAGCAGCCCTCGAAAGTGGCGACAGTTTCGCAAATCGCAGCCCCCCAGGACGGCGAAGTCCCGCTCAGATCTGCGCGGTGCCTCACTCCGCAGGACCCACCAGCAGCCCTCGAAAGTGGCGACAGTTTCGCAAATCGCAGCCCCCCAGGGACGGCGAAGTCCCGCTTAGATCTGCGCGGTGCCTCACTCCGCTGGACCCACCAGCAGCCCTCGAAAGTGGCGACAGTTTCGCAGAGCGCAGCCCCCCAGGCACGGCGAGGTCCCGCTCAGATCTCCGCGGTGCCTCACTCCGCTGGACCCACCAGCAGACCTCGAAAGTGGCGACAGTTTAGCAGATCGCAGCTCCCCAGGCACGGCGAGGTCCCGCTCAGATCTGCGCGGTGCCTCACTCCGCAGGACCCACCAGCAGCCCTCGTAATTGGCGACAGTTTCGCAAGTCTCAGCCCCCTAGGGACGGCGAGGTCCCGCTCAGATCTGCGCGGTGCCTCACTCCGCAGGACCCACCAGCAGCCCTCGAAAGTGGCGACAGTTTAGCAGATCGCAACCCCCCAGGCACGGCGAGGTCCCGCTCAGATCTGCGCGGTGCCTCACTCCGCTGGACCCACCAGCAAACCTCGAAAGTGGCGACAGTTTAGCAGATCTCAGCCCCCCAGGGACGGCGAGGTCCCGCTCAGATCTGCGCGGTGCCTCACTCCGCAGGACCCACCATCAGCCCTCTAAAGTGGCGACAGTTTCGCAGATCCCAACCCCCTTCGTCGGCGAAGAGAAGGCAGGAGGAGGCGGGAGGCGGGAGAAGGAGGGACGCGACCACAGTGCTCTATTCAAAACGAATACCCAACCAAGGAGGGTTGGGAAAAAAAAGAGAGAAAGACAGACAGAGAAAAAGAGAAAGAGAGAGAGAAGGAGAGAAAGAGAGAAAGAGCGGAGGAACCAGGGGGAGGGGGAGGGCGAGGGAGGGGGGGAGAGGGACAGACAGGCATACAGGTGGAGGGGGGCGGAAGGAGGGCCGCAGAAGCAGGGCCGGGGAGGCGGAGGGGGAAGCGGAGGGGAGGCAAGAAGCAGGAGAGGGGGGCGGGGGAAAGGAACGCGGGAGTGGGAGATGATGGCCAGAGCGGCCGCGCCCGCAGACGCCGCCAAGGCGGAGGCTAGGGCACGCCACCACGTCACACGCCCACAAGTCTGCCGCGGCTGACCTCGACAACCGCCCCTGCGCATACGCACGACTCGGCAAGAAGAGAGCCCTTACCCTGTAACGCAACACGCAGCCTGGAGCGTGCTGGCACAGACCCCAACACATAATCTGAAAACGCAGGCCTGGCGAGACACGGTCTCCAAATTGTACAGAGCAACACGTGACGAGCGAAGACGCAGCCTGTTCAGCCCAGACGTCTCGAACACGGTGCGTGCTGCCCTTCAGCACGGGCGTGACAAGGCACACTAATAGAGAACTGACAGTCGCTAACACTGATCAGAATTGCACCGCTGGGCTCGGTGATCGACTGACCCAGGACAATCCAGACCCAGGTCAATCAAGCTTTGCAAGATCCTGCAAAATGTTGCAGAATCCTGCACCCAAACCCTAGTCAGTGCACCCCTGACTCTGCAAGATCCTGCAAGACCTGGCGCTCTGACTGACCCCCGTTTGCATTGACCCCCGTCTCTTGAGCCCCGATGGGCAGTGCCCGAACCCACACCGGCTGGAATCCTGCCCCAGACATCCCTGGGGAACTGAGGACGTGGGCGCTCTCCCGCCCTCGGGGGTGGGCAGATATGTCCACATGAGACGAAGCCACGACGAGAAACAAATCGGGTGAGGATAAGTCGAGAATCTCTGAGATGCGGCGGCTCTGGAGGATGTATCGGGCGCCGCGACCTTCTCAGAGGAACGCTCTGAGAGCGTTCCCGAACGCTCTGGAACGGATTTCTTCTCGTCCTAGCCCCGTCCAACCACACCAACCAATCCCGGAGAGATCCCCGAGGTCACGGGGTCCGAGGCGGTGGATGCACACATCCTGTGGCGGTGGAGATCAGCGGCGAGCGAGGGGGGGGGAAGTGAGAAGGAGAAGGCCCTCTCGGAGGGCGGCGGTGCTTCTCGGAAGCCCGCTGGCCTTCTGAGAAGTTCTCTGCGCCTTCGGGGAAGCCTTAAAGACCTCTCAGAAGGCTGGGGGACTTCCGAGCCTTCTCAGAAGGCATTCTCCTTCTCACCTCCCCCCAGGCTCGCCGCCGAGGAAAGGTGAGGGGATAGCGGAGGGCACATCTCAGGGAGCGAGCCTGGAGGCCCACATCACCAACCATCCTGGTCTCCCCTCCTTGTCCCACGAGGTGGTTCTTGTACCTCTCCTCCACGGTGCGGACCATCGAGGGCATCTGCTGCTGCGCCAGTATCCTTGCCTTGTCCCAGACTTCGCCCGACATGTAGCAATTGATGGCCTCCTGCGCTGCCTGGGCAGCCGCGCCAACTTCTCTGATTCACGTCTTCCTGCCTGCTGCTTACCTTGGCTCAGGCCCGACTCCCAATACTCTCTTCGGCCAGAAACGCGAACGACATCAAGACTGGTTCTTCTGGTGGCGAGGGCGGGTGGAAATATGGAGACAGCAAGAGACCTTCAGTGGACCATGACGCTCTAGCTGCAAGCATCGGCATACTGACGTAGACGGAATGAGAACTCTACCATGACGTGGACGAACAAGAAGCACTGACACAGTAAACGGGATGGAGCAAGCAGCAAGCCAGAGTGCAAGAATGACGAGACACAGAGATTCGGAGCCATTGCCTCGATGCCCTCGTAAAGCTCCGCGGCGGCCGCGAAGCGCGTGATAGCCTTCAAACGCTTCGCAACGATCGCGACGATCTCGTTGTAGCGCTCGGGGGCGTGCTTCATGGCAAGCCGCACCGCGTTCTCCCACACCTCGCCCGGAGAGCCAGGCAACCAGACGCGGCTCCGAGGGGTCCCTCCCGCCCATCTGAGGCGACGGAACCAAACGAGTATCACGCGAGAAGACATAGGGACCTCACGCCGCGGCTTACGCGAGCCGCCAGCGTGGTACATGTCGAGAAGAGGGCGCTTACGCGCGACCTCACGCGGGAAGCTTACGCGCGAACGTCGGCACAATCGAGTTCGCCTTCCTGCGTCGCTCATATGGACCCAGCTGTAGTTGCCCTGCGGATTTTGCCTTGCTTACTCTGCTCGCTTCCTCTGACCGCATGTGCTTCACGCGCCGGTCTCATACGCAGGCGATGCTTCTGTTAAGACCAGCCGATATGCACAACGATTCTGATGCCTGCTATACAAGAACGACGCCCACGCACATGAATTATGTTCGGACTCCCTTCACGCCTGGCTTCAACGCGTTACGGTACTATTCCTGGGTCGAGGATCGATTACACCTCTGGCGACGCCAACGCGGTACGGTGCACGGCACACACAATGCGTCCACGGATGCTACAATCAGAACGACGACGAGAATTATGCGTAGCACATAGCAAGACACTGCCAAGAGGTACAGGCAGACGGATCAGACCGTGCGCACAAGCGTCCGTCTTCCTGCAGCTCACTCCTTCAATCCCTTGCTCCCTCCCACGCTCCTTCGCTCCCTCCCGCCCTCCCCTCCTCGCTCTCCCCCTCGCTTCCTCGCTCGCTTGCCACCTTCCCTCCTTACAAACCTCCCGCTCCTCATGCATCATCAGACCCCTCTCCCTCATCCACCCCTTCCTCCACTCCTCCCCGAACTTTCGTTCCTGGGCAGCAAGAACTGGTGAACGATAGGTGGACGACTGGCCGAGGCAAAGGCAGCAGCAACCGCCAACCGTACCGCGCGCACGCAAACGCGCTCGCCCGCACAACAGAGACATGCAGCCTCCTCCAACCGGTCCGGGTTCGCGGAGCTCGTCTCGTTGACCGAGAGGTAAGTGTCGATGGCGCGCGAGTAGTTCCCAGTGTCCTCGTATATCTTCGCGGCGTCGAGCACCTCCTCCAGACTCTGCGCCTGGATGCACTGTACAACAGAAGGGCGGCACGATTCTTGCATCTCCTCCTCATCCTCCTCCTCCTCCTCCTCCTCCTCCTCCTCCCCTCCTCCTCCTCCTCCTCTCCTCCTCCTCCTCCTCCTCCTCCTCTCGCTCCCCCCTCCCGGATCCCCCCGTCCCCCTTTCCCACCCGCGGTGGCCACCCACCCTTTCAGCCCAAGCCCTGGTCCCATCGGGAGCGATCGCAAGCGGGGGGGGGGCTGATGGAAGCGATTCATCAAATGGGTCGATGGCCTCCAGGACTGCCCCACAAAACCCCCAAAGAGACCCAAGAAGGCAACAGAAGGCCCCAAATAAAAACTACTCAGCGCGGAGATCTTCACATGTGCACATACTTCCTGGCGCCTTCTCCTGGGAGCGCCTGTGCGTGAGCGAGTCTGAGGGTGAGTAAGAACGAGCGTTGCTTTCTGATGCTCGCTGCTGCTCTCCACTGCTCTCCGCGGCTCTGCTGCTGCCTGCTGCTGCCTGCTGCTCCCTGCCGGGAAGGCAATGGGGGAGAGCAGGACCCCAGGCGAATTTCGCCAGGGGCGCCGGCACCACGGTGCAGAGACCTTGATGCGTGGGATGGCAAGATTAAAATTGGCAGGCGGATGAAAGAGGGGGACTGGCAGGGCATCGAACTGGCAGGCGGAAAGTCGAACTGGCAGGCGGAGGGTCGAACTGGCAGGGGGGGGATCGAAACTGGCAGGAGGAGGATCGAAACTGGCAGGCGGAGGATCGAACTGGCAGGCGGAGGGTTGAGAGGACGTCTTCGCGCACCGTTCCCCGCGATACGCGACGTGACGTCATCGTCTCGCGCTCTCGCGAGGCCACCTCGGGGAAGGGCGGCTGTCCAGCCCAGGCCGCAAAAAAGCGAAGCCTGGTCATCCTCGCGCCCCTGCGGATGGGGATGGCGCAGAGGTCGGGGGCCACGGAGGCCTGTCCACCGCCGCCCGGCTCTGTGTGCGAGCCGATCACGTCGGGGAGCATGTCGGGGCGGTGCTTCTTGCACACCCGGATCGCCTCGTTGACCTGGCCAGTCTCCCCCCTCATCCGTCCTCCCTCCTCCTTCCCTTCCTCTCGCCCTCCTCCCTCCATCCTCAGACCTCCGGCCACGCATCCCTCCCCATCTCCCTCCGTCCACCCATCACTCCTCCCTCCCTCCCTCCCTCCACTGCCCACTCCCTCTTCTCTCCTCCCTCCCTTCCTCCCCTCCTCCCGCCTTCCTTTCCCTCGCTCCCCCGCTTCCTCCCTCCCTTCCTTCATGCCTTCTCCCTACGCTTTCCATTCCTTCTTCACGAGCGGCGAACGCCATCGTGGTCTGGGGCGCGATCCAGGTGGTCTGGGGCGCGATCCAGCAGATATGCGTTCACACGGATACGTTCCGCGCGGGGCATCCGCGAAAAGATGCCCAATATCCACGGGGTCGCGGCCTGGGGGCCCGACCCGCGAGGCCGTGGACACGGACCTGGTTTTCGCCCACGACTTCTCCATTCCTACGTCTATCCCTCCCTCCCTCCCCCCTCGCTCCTCACCCATTCCGCATGTCACGGGATGCAGACCGCTCATCCTGAGCCTTGGCCTCTGGCCGCTTGCCAGCGAGAAGAAATATGGAGGACTGGCCCGTCTGGCCAGAAGGGCGTTGCGCCGCTTTACTTTGCACTGGATTGTCTTGTTCTGCCTCGCCCTGCTGCGCAATGCATAGAATTGCCAGCACCCTGCACTGCATCACGAGCGGCGAACGTGTCCAGATCCACGCAACCGCGGTCTGGATTCCGGGGCGCGATCTCGCTTGGCATAAGTGTACGTCGCTTGATATGGCTTGAACTTATCTGCGCTGCGTTGCTTTGCTTGGCATTGCTTTGCAGCGCTCCCCGAGGTGCGCCGATATACATCAGGAGAGACGAAAGGGGAAGAGGAACAAGAGGATTGAGGAAGGAAGGTAAGCAGGAAGGAAAACGGAGGATGGAGGAGGGAGGACAGAGAAAAGGGAGGACGGAGCGAGAGAGGGAGGGAGAAAGGCGAAAAGAGAGTAGGACACCGGGATCCGACATCACGAAAAAACAAAACGCAGTTATTCGCAATCATAAAAAAACAGATGTTGCTTCGAGCGGTCCCCAAACAAGAATGCCAAGTGGAATACCCAAGGATCACCAGGCCCCTTGGGGCCTGGCGGCCGCGGTATGCAGTCGTCAATCGTCGCAGAAGCGAGGAGGGATACCCGGAGAGCACCGGGATCCTCGGGACCTGGCGGCATCGGTACGCAGGGTGGGCGGGGCGTGTCAGGAGCTCTCTCTTCTCGAAGCGTGAAAACCCCAACCTGTCGGGTGGGAACACATGGCTGGAGCTGTCGATATCATCTTTCTGAGGCGTTTCGTCGAGGTCGATCGGTCCGCGACGAGGTCCCCGGGGCCCCTCGACGGGGCAAAACACTCGCCACGACTCCTCCGCGACGCGCCCGGGCCCTCGGGGAGGAGTGGCGGGGCCTCTGGCCAAGGCAACTCACGAAGCCGGCCTGTGCCCCCCCCCCCGGCCCCCCTCCTCCTCCCTCGGGGTTGGCGCCAGCCCATTGCGGTCTTTGAGCCTCCCTCGCCTTTCAAAAGTGGTAGCACACTTTTTTCGGTGACTCCTGCTACGTGGGTCACTCTTTTCGAGCTGGCGACTCTGATGAGCTCTGTTCGCCGAACCGCCTGCCCCTGTCTCTCTTCGAACGGTGCGCTTACACACAGCAGGGGTTCGCCCCAAGGTTTCGTTCGACAACGACTTGCCTCAAACGACCGCTGCCTGCCCCATCCTCTGCACGAGCGCGGGCGGGAGACGTACCCGCGTCCACGGACTCCGTGGTCTGGACCTCTCGGCCGCGATCCCGTGGACACAGGGCTTCTTTGCGAGGGATCCCCGCGATAAGCGCATCCACGAGTCCGCGCATCCATGGGGTCGCGCTTCGGTGTCCAGACCGCAAGATCGATCCCCGAACCCCTCCGATACTCTATCCCCGCAAAGTGTTAATCTGGAATCGCTGCTCGAGGGCCACGGGGCCCGAGAACTGCCCCCAGACGCCCGAAACAACAGAAACCATCCTCCCCCTTCCTCGAGCACAGAAGGCTACTGAACACGAGTGTTCTGCATGCGCCCGGACTGGACGGACACGACCATCGCTTGTGACACAAAGACCCTCCAGAGACGGGCACGCCCACAAGCTGGTACCGAACGGAACCAGAAGGGCGAGGAGGACGAGGGGGAGGCTCTCGCTCAAGACTTCCTGAGAATCTACGGCAACAGAACTGCACACGCGCAATGGTGCACGATGGAGTGCGGTTCCTGTTCAACCAGCATCACTCGCTTGACATTTCCTTGAGCTTGATGACCAGGACACCTACGGTCACGAATTTATGCTTAGCGTGTCGCGGCGGGAGCCATGGCGACACGCTACGCCCTGCAAGCTGATAGCGTGTCGCTCTGCCTCGCGGGGCAGGAAGTTCGGAAAGGCTCGCGACGTTGACCCTTGGAAATCGGGAATTGGCTGGCGTGCCGCGCCGAAGCGTGGTGGGCCAGAACCGGCGGCGCGACACGCTACGGCAGGTTCGTGTCGTTCCAGCTTCGGCGTGAGTTTATTTTTTTCCATCGCAAGCACCTGATGATGAAAACTGCCAGAGTCCCAACTGATGGGTAGAGGACTCCACCATGTAGACCATGTGGGCTTCGACGTTGGTTTCTGACACCGCGGGGATCGTTCAACCTTGATCGATCGGCCGTTCGTCGAGCGATTCTGGATCGCCAGCGGCGTTCAACCTTGAACGCTGGCAGCGGGGCCGCCCGCCGCCCGTCGACACGACGCGAACCGACCGTGAAGCCAAAGTTCCTGACCGTATGTCGTTTTGTTGTTCTTCGAGTTACGGAACGAACGGCGATGGGGGCCAGCCTGGCGCTTCGAGGAATACGCCTGCACCGCCAGCTCGGGCTTGCCGGCCTGCACGAAAAGGTTCTCCGCGGCCTGGCCGCCCGAAGCGCAATCTCGCGCCCCGAGTGCTTGCAGACCGCTGCCCCTCCTCATCCTCCTCCTCCTCCCTCCCCCTCCTCCACTTCCTCCTCCTCCCTCATCACCATCATCATAATCATCCTTATCCTCATCATCAACATCAACATCAACATAATCATCATCATGATCACCATCAGCATCAGCATCAGCATCATCATCATCATCATCATCATCATCATCATCATCTTCATCATCTCCATCATCAGCGTCATCAGCATCACCACTTCCACCACCATCACCACCAACACAACCACAACCGCAACCACAACCACAACCACAAGCGTGATCATCATCATCAGCATCATCAGCAGCATCAGCATCATACTAATAACCATCAGCATAATCATAATCATCATCAGCATACTCTTCATCATCATCAGCATCATCATCATCGTCATCATCATCATGATCAGAATCATCAGCATCAGCATCATCATCATCAGCATTACCATTATCATCAGCAGCAGCATCTTCGACATCATCATCATCATCATCATCATCAGCATCAGCATCAGCATCATCATCAACAGCATCATGATGCGCATAATCATCATCAGTAGCATCATCATCATGATCGTCATCGTCGTCGTCATCGTCATCATCATTATCACCATCATCATCGTCATCATCATCATCATCAGCATCGACATCATCATCGTTATCATCATCAACATCACCATCGTCATCATCATCATGATCATCAGCATCATCATCATCACCACCAACATCATCAGCCGCATCATCAACATGATCATCATCATCATCGTCGTCGTATCACCCACCTCCTCATCCTCCTCGTCTTTCTCCTCCTCCTCCTCGTCCTTCTCCTCCTCATCATTCTCCTCCTCATCATTCTCATCCCTCCTCCTCCCCCACGTCCCAGTTTCCCTCCTGATGTTCCTTCCCGTCGGCCTCCACCTCCCCCCGTCCTCCTCCTCCTCCTCCTCCTCCTCCTCCTCCCTCTCCTCCTCCCTCTCCTCCTCCTCCTCCTCCTCCTCCTCCTCCTTCTCTTTCTCCTCCTCCTCCTCCTCCTCCTCCTCCTCCTCCTCCCTCCCTCCTCATCCTCATCCTCATTCACCGCCTCCTCCTCCTCCTCGACTTCTTCTTCTGGTTCGTCTTCTTATTCGTCTTCTAATGCTTATTCAAATTATTAGTTGTCGTGTTCGTCTTCTTCTCCGTGATCGTCTTTCTCCACCTCCTCCTCCTCATCATCGTAATCATAATCATCAGCATCATCATCCTGATCCTGATCATCATCATTTCCCTAAGCGTTGTCATCATCACCATCAGCAACAGCATCATCATCATCAGCATCATCAGCATCAGCACCATTACCATCACCATCACCATTATCATCAGACTCAGCATCATCATCATCGTCATCATCATAACCACCAGCAGCATCACCAACATCATCAGCATCATCATTATCATCGTCACCGTCAGCAGCATCGTCATCAGCAGCATCATCAGGATCAGCAGCATCATCATCAGCAGCATCATCATCAGCATCAGCATCATCAGCATCATCATCAGCAACACCAGTATCGTCAGTAGCATCATCACTATCAACAACAACCGCATCATCATTATGCGCATAATCATCATCAGTAGCATCAGCATCATCATCAGCATCATCTTCATCATGATCATCATGATCATCATGATCATCATCATCATCAGCATCATCATCGGTTTCATCATCGGATTCTTCATCATCACCACCATCCTCATCATCGGCGGTAGCAGAGGCAACATAATCATCGACACGATCATCCTCGTCGTCGCCATCAGTATCATCACCATTAGCATTACCATCATCATCATCATCATCATCATCATCATCATCATCCAGCTCGTCGTCGTCACCATCATCGTTGACATGAACATCACCACCGTCAACAGCATCATCTACATCATCACCGTCGTCATCGTCACCAGCATCAGCACAACCATATGTTCACCATCGTCAACTTCATCATCATCATCAGCATCGTCACCACCACGACTACTTCCACCACAGCAATCCATCACAGCCACGATGACCATCACCAGGAACCCATATCACCCACCAGCGTCACCATCACCACCATCATCACAGCACACAGCAACAACAACAACAGCGACAGCAACAACCTTAACATCACCAACATCAACAACTGCAAAAAAAACAGCAACAACCTACAACACCAACAGTCAATGTAAGACTGCTGACCTGCCATTCAACACGTGCTACGACTACTACTGGTACTACTACGGCTGCACATTCTACCACTACTACTAGTAGTAGCACTACTACTACTACT